CCTACACGACCCCCTTCCCATCCTAAAAAAGAACCCATCCAATCTTCCCTAACCCTCTTTGACACAACTTAATCAACCAAACCCAACAAAAAAAAAAAAAAAAGAAGTCAGATTGTTAGACAATATCCTCAAAGCTTTTTCTTAACAAACTATACTGGCAAAGTAAAGATAGTCACAATCCAATGGCTTTTAAAGAGAGTCAGAATCCAATGATTTTGGGTATCTAGGGTTAAGAAGAGTTTGCTTTGACTCATCTTGTCCATATTTACTCTTAAAGCGGTTATATATATTATCTTCCTTGTATTTTGGTCCTCTGGAATTCATTTCTAGACCTGCAAATATCTGCTCAAAGTGTTGCAGTAGGAATTTCCTGACTATTTCTTAAGAGAGGTTTGGATGATTAAGCAGTGTGAAAGAGGGTTAGGGTAATGTTAAAGGATAATGTTAAAAGCCCTATAAGGATATTTCTAAAATAATCAGGGATGCTGAAAGACAAGGTATTTATCTCTTTAACAATTCCACCCACTCTTAATAAGATGCAGTGTAATGTCACAACGGTGAGAGTCTACCCCCTTAAGAAAGCGTTTTCTTTTCAACATCCTCTCCAGGGTTATAGCCTTCCAGCAGGAAGAGGACTGTGGTACATAGGATTTTCAGAATGACGACTGAAATTGCATGTGTTGTGGAGCATTGCAGGGGAGTAAAGGTAGGAATTATCTGATAGGGCAGGAGTATAATTGGAGAAGGAGTTGGGGGGAGGGAGAGAAGATTGCATTCAGAATAACCGTGGCTGACTGATGCAAAAAGTAGAATGAGGCAGGATGTCTCTAGCCTGGATCTCGGTGACAGGCAGGCAGTTTTGCAGAGTTACTGTAGTTGAGAGTGAATGAGATGGAAAGGGACTTCAAGTAATAAAAGATACTTTTATTTTATACTATGGCTGGAACCTTTGTCATACTTTTGATCAAGGGAAACAGTAAACCAAATGGCCAGTTAGTTGCTGAGTGGGGAATCAGAAGATTCAAAGGAAACAGAGCCCACAAAAGAGAGAGAGAGTGTTAGGAAGACTCCAGCTTCTCTGGTTGGAGCAGGGAATGACAGAATGGAACATATCTGTTATTTGCTGCATTAAAATGCAGTCTTTTGTAGTTTTCATTCATCAATATGGAATTAAAAATTAAAACAAACTAGTAACAAAACAAAATATATTTACCATACTATGATTACTGGTAACCTTTAGGCTTATTGAATTGCTTGTAATATGACATCTGTTATGCCAGGTATTATAATTTAAAATAAAATCTCAAGAACTTGACATATGAAAAATGACAACTCTAATTACCATATAATATTTTTTCCAGAAATGCAGAGACTCTTCCAGTATTTCACTAGGATAAAGCTCTCTGAAATCATGCCTTTTATCTGGGGTACGGAGAAAGGATAAGTAATATACAACAACTCTGACCTTAGGCATAAGAAACTTAAATTTTATTTTGGAGTTCCATATTGAAGCATAGGTCATAAGAATAAAAACATCAAGAAAGAAGTTTTGAGAAGTTTGTAAGTGTTTAGGTAAATTTAGGATAGCTTTTTTGCTTGTTTCTTTATGAATTTGCTTTAAACCATTCTCTTAAAAGATTATGAAAATATGATGGTGCTTCCATTAAACAAATGTGAGCAATTCCAGGGATTCCATTAGGCCAGTGGTTTCCAACCTACAATCCCTGGACCAGCTTCTGCCTCAGCATCTTCTGGAGACTTGCTGGAATTGCAAATTCTTAGACTCTGAATCTGAGGGGGGCTCAGAAATCTGGGTTTTAACAAATATCCCAAGAGATTCTGTTACTTGCTAAAGTTTGAGAATGTTGCTTTGGGCAATTTCTTTCTCATGTGATGTATATATAAAGATGAGAAGAGAAAAAAAATAAGATAGTGTATTGTGTTAATATTTTTTTTTTTTTTTTTTTTTTTTTTTTTTTTGCACTGGAATATTCTGTTTTAAAACAAAACACTGTCTTAAAAAACAAGATTTTAAAAGAAAAATAAAAGTGTATGCACACTAAATTTATCATCTGAGTACCTCCCTAATGTTTAGTATGGGATTTGAAAAGCTAAATTGATTTCTTTCGAAGTAGTTATGAATTCTTGGCATAAAATCATCATTGAGCTTCCTATTCAGATTTGCAATGCTCTACGTTTCTTGGCTGCTGGTTTTAGCTGTCCCTGAAATTAGGCCTGTATCTCTGAATATTGACTATAATTACTAATCTTGAGCTTGTCATTATATTTTCAGTAAATGGAGGTGTAAACACTTTCTGAAAACCACATCTGTGCTGAGAGCATTTTGGAGAAGGTTTTCAAAATGGCATTATCTCCCATCTTCCCAGGTGCTAGGAAAGAGATAAGCTTCAATTCAGTTTCTGAACAGAAACTTGGTCGGAGGTGGGGGGAAGGAGATAGATTTAAGAGGACTGGTACAAAGCTATCAAATAAGCCAGTCCAGGTTTTGTGGACTACACGCTTAGCATATCAGTGTTTGTTTTTTTCTCTATTTTTTTTTTTTTTTTCTGTAAGAGAACAGAAACTAGATTAAGATTCTAGGCCACTCTTGTTTAACTTGGGAGCAAAAAGGAGGAAAAAATGAAAAACAGTTCACAATGTGTTACAAGTAAAAAACAACAAAGAAAGAAGAAAAAAAGAGTAAGTATTAAAAAAAAAGAAGAAAGAGGAATAAAGAAGGTACCCCACCCCCCTGAAATACGACTACTTTGGTACAACAGAGTGTATTTGATATTAAGATTTAATAATTAAATTTAATTGATTTTAAGTTTGGCTTAGAAGATTACCATTATTTGATATTTGAACACTTATACTAATGTACCATTACAGATGTATAGGGGAATACAGACATATGAGGGAGGGGAGATGAAAGCAGGACAATTATCTTAATATGTGTAAAATATAATTTATAGTTGTGATTAGTTACCAAGTTGCTTATTAGAGAAAAGATCACATGTATATGCAGTGGACAAATGCCCAAGAAATTAAAGGGAAATTAATTATCGAGAATGTGAACAGGCTTCTTTTATTAGTCAAAGCTAGATAATACTAAGAATTTTTGTTTGTTTGTTCTTTTACTAAAGATGCTGCCATGTGGAAATCAGGGCACTGCTTTTAGGTTGGCATCTCCTGCCTGCATAGGCAACTAGTCCTGTTAGAGTGGATGTCAAGGCTTTTTTTCTTCTACTTCAAGTGCCCTCTAGTGTGCAATATCTGTGCAGGTTGCTATGTACAAGGAGGAGAAAAGAAGAAAGAAACAGAAATATTCTACCAATTGCTATCCTAATTCCTGAATTGCTCTGCTCTTCTTTTCTCCTTCCTCAAAGGGGTCATTTCCACCTAAGTGTTTGGCAAAACAAAAAAGGTGCTGTTGCTTTTACATGAAAAACAAATCACTCATTTTCTAAACTAGGAAACAAATGCTAATCCTTTCTCAGGGGTTTCTTTTGAATATTCATCGTAATTTTCCAGAAGTTTCATACACTCTAGTAATCAGGCAAATAAAAGAAGGTAAGTTGCTCCCTGGGAAGAAATTCTGTTTTGTTGTTCACTCCACCACAGACCAGCTATAAGGCTTCTGAGGCAAAGTGATTAACCTCTTCATGGGTTTTAAGTTTGTGTCTCCGTGAAAGTGCATAAAACTTGTTTCCATCCTCAGGGGGGTGGTATGAGGTCTAATTGAGG